AAACTCTGAGAGGTATTCTTTTCCTTCCTGTCCCAAAACCCTGACTGGCATCAGACTCTATCTTTTAAAAATTTCTGCCTGACTGTTCAGCCATCTCTTCTAAGGTAACTCATCCCACCTACGGGGTCAGTTCTCTTAACTTGATACCATTAAATAATTCAAGAAGGAAACAGAAAAAAAAAATCTGAAGCCGACCAGACCTTTCATGTTCTATTTACAATCACATCTGCTCTTTTAATCATTCCAGATAGAGAAACCAGCTTACAGATAGCACAAACCAGAGAAACGCTGGTCACTCTTCAGTCAATCAATTATTGATCTATATGGTCCCATGTGTTTTCTACAGGCAAGAGTCACTGAAAAACTGAAAATCTCAGACATTCAAAAATCAGTGAAAAAGGACACAGTTTGATGTTTTTATGAGAAGTGAATTACTTTAGGGTCACATATAGAATGAAAGCCATTCTTGGGAGCAATAAACAACATTCTGGAATACATCAATAACAGCTTCATAAACAGCTAACTATATATGGACTGTAATAAAAGCTAGGACTAATAAAAAACTAGGACTCAAACCCTCCAGGTTTTCAGCCACAAACTCAATTTTCCAGCTTATTCTTGTCCCTCTAAAGCTAATAAAATGAACAATTTCTGGAAGTAATTTTTCAACTCCCAAATTATAAGCAGCAAATTTTTATATAGGAAAAGGTTTCTGCAAAAGCTGTAAACCATTCAGAGATGCACATGAGATACAAAAATCTATCAACAACCTTTTGACAAAGCTTTGCCTAGCACTCTAAAGGGAACAGTGCAATTTTCCTCCCACTGTACCTTCATATATATTTTTTGAGATCAAGTTATGGTCAAATTGCCATGTAACCACATTTTCAATTTTCTTCATACATTTTTACAACACTCTCACTTCAGCAGTATTTACTATTATCACTCCCAGCAGCTAAGGCTGTTTACATAAGGTGTTATTTGCCAAGAACCTGCTACTTGAAAGGAAGACCTCTTCTGTCTGCACAGCAGATTTGTAGGTGGAGAGAAGTAGCCTTGTTGAGAGAAAAGCAGAGGGAACCAACATAATCACATGCACATGATCCATAAAGGACAGAGCAGAAAACACATGAGGCGTCCTTCTCTAATGGAACTCAAACACATTTATAAGATACTTTTTTCATGCAGTTTCAATTAATTTGCTGTAGAAGAATTTTCATAAAGCTCCCCCAGGGGCTAAAAGCCTAACTGCAGACAGACTCAGCCAGAACTTGTGTTATCACACATAACACACACCTAAGTGTTTCTAGCCCTGCTTCACTGCTGAAGGAGTAATATACAACTCACTACAACACTTAAAGGCTACCCTCAGGAAGATAGAGGAATACAGCTCTAAGGAGAAATTACAAGAACTACTATAAGTAGCATGTCTGAATACACTTAACCCTATTTTAACTTCACAATGCCTTGAAAGTTACTGAATGTCCTCAAGCAAAGCAGCCTAATATACAGAGAATACCCAGAGCACAGCTGTTAAGATTCCTTGCCAAAATAAAGGTATATGGAGAGAGGCTCCATGTGACATGCTCACAGTTTGTTCCTATCCCATATGTCAGTTGCTCTCCCTGAGACTGGAAAGAGATGCTTCTTCCTCCCACAGACAACATGGAGCTGGGAAGAGCCATCAGCAGGACACACGATGGGAACAAAAATGGCCATGACCAAGAAGGAAAAAAATTCTGAACAAAATTAGGATGTCATTTGATAAAGGCACAAACCTGCACAAAAAAAAGAGGAAGGCTGCTCATTAGACTGCAATCCACCTGGAAGTGAGCTGATGGTCAACATAGATCAACAAATTTGACAAGAAATCAGAGTATTGTTGATGCCACACAACAAGTAATTAACTTCACAGCCAACAACACTCAACCTAACTCAGACCACAGCTTTGTTAGAAAAGGCTTCAGGATCAGCCACCCTAAACAGCAACAACTACAAATGGGTAATTACCAGTCAGCAGCCAGTAATGAACCACGGACATTTATCCTACTTGAATGTTTGTTTCCTTTGCATTGCTAACATTTAGAGCAATAGTGAATGTAAGGTACAGTGATAGATATGCCAGTGATTTACTGGAGGAAAGAGAGTTCTGTTGCTCACTGAAGCAGTGTTGTTCACAGGACATAATTCCTAGTTTAAGGGGAAAAACACTTCTGTATCCAAGGAAGAGCATTAAGCATTAAGTTAATTACAAAGAATTGCAAAACTGAGCTCTGAATAAAGGAGGGATAAAATGAGTTTTCAAGCGAGACAATGCATTTCTTCTGACACCCTGGAAGTCTTGAAACAAAGATCACATTCAAAAGCTTCTACATTCCCCTCAAGAAAAATATTCAAGTGCATCCCCAGGAAAGGGTGCCTGAATGTGAATTATTAGGCAATATCAGTCAGACTCTCTTTAGCAACAGCATTTGCTAAGGAAGAATTTCACAAAGCCCAAGATGTCACTTCCCACAATAGAACCATGTATTTATCTCACAATAAGTAGATTTATGCTTGTGTACATAAACTAAGTACAGATTTTGTTTCATTTCTTTAGCCATGTTTTACAAATATGTGATTGTGCTACTATATTTAGATATTAAAAACAATACTTCTAGTTAACCTTAATCTGTTTTAACCTATGGTACAGCAAACCAGCACAGACTCTGCAGTGTCCACAAGTAAGAAAGGAGCTTCCCCTCCCATCACACAGCTCAGATTCTGGCCCTGCCAGAACTGGACAGAACCCAAGTGTACCCAGGGACTCACAGCAACTGAAGAGGCCCTGTGACCCAAAACAGGATGCCAGAGTGCACACTTATCCCTTGCAGCTACTGGGGTCTAGGCCACATGCAGACCTCCTGTTGATCCCCTTCTATTATGGAGGTGTTCTTGCTTATTCCTCTCTCATGGGAAGCAGGTCCTGGGGTCTGAAACCTTTCCATTATTCCAAAGGCAGGTGTGTGTGCAGAAGACAGCAAGATTAAGTGCTATAATTTTTATCAGAATGTGGGCATCTGAAAATTTCGGAACTTGCACTAATCAAGAAATCATGTATGTATGACAACATGACACTTGAGTTCTAAATGCAAAAGCATCACATTAAATAAGTCATACTGGTTTTGATATTTTTGCTTATAATGTGTTTACATTCCTGCTCGATATAGAAAGATTTCAGTCTGATTGCACAGATTCAGGTGGTACTTGAAGCCAGCTGATAAATGAGTTAGTGGAAACAGGTTGAAGTGCTAATGTCCTTTTTACTGCTCTTTCCTAGAAATATAAAAAGGGAAAAACAATACTAAACCAACAGTTTGGTTTCTGAAGCTTAAAAAATATCTTCCAGTTTTCTCTTCCATAATTTTACTCGTCCAGGAACTAGATAGAGAAAATATCAATTACTTTCAGAGAAGAATTAAAACCTCAGTTGTTCTTTATGCTCACTGCAAAATCACAAAGATAAATACGAAGTAGTGGAGTGGGGGAAAAAAGTTGAAAAAAGGTAATTTCTAACAAGTCTGTCTGTGGAAATAGAAAGAACTGAATATAATCTCACACTAAAATACTCCTGCTGAGAACTTCATTCAAGAAAAGCATTTGTGAATGCCAGGAAAATGACTAAGAAGATGACTTTTATCTCAATAATATGCCAGAGTAGATGAACGTGTGTTAAGATAATTAAGCTTTCTCAGTGATAAAGAAATGAAACTTGAAAAGCAAAACTGGAAGTTACACTTCTGTAAGACTTAAGAGTAGTAAGTGAAATATCTTTCATTTTAGACAGATTCTTGCAAAACATCTCCCATTTTCAGAATAAGCAGTTTAAATGATAATACTTCAGGATATATTCTGGATCCCTAAATAACATTTAGATCATAAATGTTTTCCAAAGCCATCTTCTGAAGCTATTACATCAAAAAATGACTAACATTAACAATGTAGAATGACCTTTTCTCTAAATATTACAATTTTGCATTCTCTCCATTCATCACAGTTTATTTCTGCTATTCACTATTGCATCTGCTTGAATTATAAAAAGAATACACTTGGCAACACACAGGATAAACACACTATAATGAATCACACATGCTTGTAAGGTGCATGTTTCTCCTACAAAAATATTAAATTAATATACACATTTGCTTGTCTGTGTGAGAAAAAAAATTCTGTTGTACTTTTATGAGGTCTTGGGCATAAATTATTTGTGTATTGACTGACTGTGGAGTGAATGTCTTCATTCATACTTATTTAAATCTTCCCCCTAGTTTCCAAAGTTTAAAGAAAAAACAACAATAAACCCCATTTAAGTGTGACTTATACAAAATCAATGCTTTCTTTTTTGTCACTGCATAAAAAAAGCAGTAAATTATGCTTAAACCATACTTCATCACCTGCAAACATTGGAGCCACTGTTTAATCAGCATGCTCTTATCTTTGCTCTCCAACAGATAAAGGCTCTAACATGTAAGGCAGTGTAGGTTTTTCATAATGTTGAACTCAAAGATTGCTGAAATCAAATGTTTCCTTTATGAGGGCTCCAGTACACTCAGACATATGAAAGAAAAACATTTTTATGACACTGTACTTGACTACCTTTGTCATTTCTTCTCTTTTCCTGTCTCTCAGGGCCCTGCTTCTTTTTGAAATCAATGGGCTGAAAACAAATTAAATTTAAACGCTAATATCTAGGTTACCAACATGTGCCCTTAGAAACAACAAAACTCTTTGGTCTATATTTTAATATTAAAATGTAAAAATCTAACAACAATCTGGTTGTTCTCTGTAATAGAAACCAAATACTACTCCCCTGGCATTTTGCTTAAAAAAACATTTTAAGAAATATGCAAATTCAAAGAGGTTTATATCTGAGATTAACAGACTGTCCAAAGAACATGAAAGAAATACTAACCCAAAGCAAATGAATACCAGAATCTGAGTTTAAAAAAGGTTGTACTTACTCCTTATTTCTGCATTGAATGCATGGCTGGTAAAGGACTTTGAGAGCATTCCAGGATCCCACTGGTCCAGAGCTGGGTGTAAGGATATCTCCAAACAGTGTAAAATCACTGTGGGAGGAGGAACTTCCTGAAGACTCTACCAGTAATGTGTCAGAATTTAAAAGCCAGATCTATAAATGAAAAATAATTTTGTTTACTGTACATTAGATACACTTCAATTTGTTACTTTACTGTGACCCTAAAGCAGCTGATACTAAAGCCACATTTTTACAAAGTTTCCAACAAAGTATTAACAGACATAAATTGATATTTTATTATTTAGAGAGTCTGCACAGCTTCTAGTGGAGAAAAAAGGGCAATACAATACTGATTTATCAGTATTGAAGCTGCCTCTTTTTGTGGCTGTAGCACATTCCCTTTGGTAGGAACAAAAGCAATAGTCCCAAGTCATCTCTTTTAGTACCAGATGTATTATTTCTCCAATTTCATAATTTTTAGGCATTAGTCAAGCATATGGTGTTGAGCAACTGAGGGCTAAAGACAGGAAACTGAAAGACTGCCCACTGAAGTGCCAAAAACTGAGGATTTTTAGAAGATGCATGATGGTTATGACTCTATGGACCTAATACATGAAAGAAAAAAAGACAACAATGAATATGGTCTAAAAGGCATGTTGGAATTTACAAACAGCTGAAGCAGACCTTCACTTGGAAAATAAATATCAAGTTTCACAATGGGACTAGCATTCTTCAGCCCTATTTGCTCACAGCAATTCAAAAGATATTTACTGGGGAGAGTTTTGAGAAATTTGAACTTTTTGCATCCCATTATGGATCTTATTTAATCTTTGTTTGATTTGGTATCAGTGCTCTGACTTGGATCCAGGGCTTTCCTGCTAAACACCACACAAATAAGTCAGGCTTTTCCTTAATTCACAGCCTGCAGTAGTGAAGTGATCCAAGTTAACAATGGAAATCAATTTTTACAAATGTGGCACCTGTATGAAATGTTTATATATGAAATATTTATCATAGAAAATGGGATTTATACAGTGTTGCTCACTAGAGAGCAATCTTCTGCTTCTCATGATCCAATCAGCTTCAAGTAAAACAAGTTACATGATGTTATGTAGCAGACACATGATATCCCCTGTGGAGGGAGAAAGCAGTCATTAACAGGACACATAGTATATGTTGTAATTGAAAGTGACAGTCACAATTTATCAGAGCCCAGGGCTCAGGACATTACAGTGGAAGCTTCATAAAGAAGGAAGGAGATATATTGATAAAGATATCTTGGGAGGGAATAGGAGGAGGAGAATCACTTCAGCATATGCACATGAATGATGACAAGCAAGCACATTTGGCTTTGCAAGAGGTTGTTCATCAGCTTTGCTCTAGTAGCTCACTGTACACATTTACAGCCTAAACTGCAAAATATACCTCATTAGCTAGGACCATTACACAAGGTGCTTAAAGCCAAGTGCTGAAGAGCTGTTGGAAGAAAATGAAACACAGAAACACAGGCCACTGCCAACACAAACTGAACAGAGTTTCTTCCTTTTGAAATTTCTAACAAATCTGGGTGGAAGGAGCTTCCTGGGATGCTTTTCAGCAGGGGAATATCCTTCAAACTAGACAAGGGAACAATGTAGCAATAGCTGTCTGCTCTTTCAGAATCCTTCTGCAATCTGCTGCAGAGAAAGCAACCAAAGCATTTCATTTGCAACATAGTCCATTGGAAATGCACCTCTTTCCACACAAGTATCGCATCTCACAATCATGTTCTAGAACTTGTATGAATATCTTTGTCTCACCAGCAACACAACAGATCTGCATTAATAACTTAGCACACAATATAGAGAAAGTAAATGAATCTCTGGGGGTGGAAGGGTTCCCAGCCATGAGCAAAATCAACTTTTGAACTACACTTACTTCTTTAGGCAGCATTTTCATTCTTTTCCTTATGTATGAATTATTTTTTTATCTTGCTTTCAATCTGAGTGAACAATTGCTCACCCAGACTTAGTGTGTTGACTCTAAGAATTTTCTACACGTATTTCTGGCTAACAGTTTCATATTTTGAGCTGTGCTTTCAACTATGTTATTCACAATGTGCAATCTCTCCTTTCTTTCTACTTCTTTGTACAGCAGAGCTGGCACAAGCAAATTCCTTCCATATTAACTCCAGTAGAAAAGAAACTTTGCAGAAAATATATATACATAAAGTGTAGAATTCATTCACAATGCCATTGAGTACCTTTTCTGAAATGACAGAATCAGAAAAAAGTAGGGGGAGGGGGGTTGTTGTTGATCTTGCTTTCATTGTTTTCTTTTGGTTTCAAATCACTTTGTCAAGAGACTTAAAAAGATGTTCTTTGGGGTCAAGTGGCAACAAAGCTACCCCAGTTATACTTCATGGGACTTGAACCAAACAGCTGAAATACCATGATTTAGATTCTGTGATCAGTTTCCCTATATCTCAGTCTGAGTTTCCAGCATCAAATTGTGGACAATTAGGCATCAATTTGAATTTAACATGGGTAAAAAAACGACTAAATCTTTTATTTTTCCTTGCTAGCTCTTTCCTAGTTATTGCAGATATTACCATGACTTTCATCATCACACAGATCACTAATGGAAACATCTTTCATTATAGCTATTTCATTCTCACACTCAGAGTGCTCAGGTAAAGATGTCATTTCCTCGTATTTCACAAAAAAAAGCTCCCTGAGAGAGCTGGGCAGCCAAGTCTCAGCAAGGTTCTCATTACCTCACTCCTTGACCACTGCAATGTCCTCCCCACCTCCAATCTTAACAAATGCAAATTGGTTCTGCTCATGCCCCTCAAGACAAGGACAATAATCAGACTGACAGGTCTCTCCCATTTTGTTACACACTAATTTTCTTGGGATTTCTTCCCACTCCTCTCAGCTCACTCCTGAAATACAAGCTGCCTTATTTTCAAAAGACTTTATAGCCTAATCCCACTCCAAAAAACACCTTTCCTTCAATCCTGAAAGACTAGAGATAGTGTTCAAAGAGTCCAAACCACTGCACACTTTTTGATTTTCACAGATTTAATCTTTTTGGGTCTTATGAGGTTGATCTCATCCATGAGATTCCCAGTATCTATCCATAAATTCCCAGTATCTATCCATAAAATGACTTATTTACTGCTTTCAAAGCTACACTTTTTTCAGTAGAGAAAAAATAGGTATCTATTGAGATGCTGCTATGCTGAACAATAATGTCCCATTTTTCTTGTGTCCTCCTATCTCCCTATCTGTTTGCTGTCTTCCTCTTAGCTTCTAAATCACGCAACTACAAGGCAGGGAACCCTTCAACAGTGGAGCAAAGAGAGGAGACAAGTGATTCACAAATGTGAAGAGGGCAGAGATATAGGACAAATAAGGATACTTGTATGTACCACTTTTTTTCCCTGAAACAAAGAAACTTTCTTTAATTGACATCCTTTAAAAATGAAAAAAAGAAAACCAACATCCTAAGTGGTGTATAGCTTAAACAACAGAATATGTGTAACTTAAAAAATGGAAACCCATATTATGGTATGTGTGAATAACATAATTGGTAGTGCTAAGTGATACATCCAGAGGAAATGAGGAAAATAACTATATGTACTATTTGTGGTTTAAAAAATTTAAAAATACTTGTCAGAAACCTTAACCTTAATTATCACATACACAGTTTCAGCTGTGTGTATTCATGTAGGTAAGCACAAACACTGTGAACTAGAATCTTTGGCTCATTATCAAAACAAACAAGTGGGACAGCTGGTTCATGATGCACCAGTGATGAGACTACTTGTGTAACTTGGCTGTGTGCTCAGAGCCTCAAGCACCCAGGTTTCACTGCTGAGCTATTGACAATCATTAATATAAACAGAGCTTACATTATACTTGTGTCCACAAGGCCACTGAGTCCTAAGACTTAACCCATGACTCCAGAACAGCTGTTGGTGTGTATACAGTAGTGAGAACCTCACCCTGGACAGGAGTAAGGACTTTCTGATGTTAAATACTAAAAACACCTGCAAAAAACTAACAATTCACCAATATAAAGGAAAATACGCCAATCAGAAGGCAGCCCCCATCTAATTCAGCCTTCTCCTCTAATCAATACATTGGCAAAAATGCAGCTCAGAGCTAAAAGTAATGGCAATCTACTAAATAAAATTATTTTTCTGTTAAAAAATAATCAGTCTGCTCTATATAAACTACTAGACTTAACCACCAGAATTTTAAGTAACTTGGGAATAGATAAGCTACAAGGGAAAAATCACAATGATTTTTGATGACTCCTCAGTTAGAATATATATAATTATAGGTATGCTTATGAAACCTTCATTTTATCATCATAGAACAGATATTTCTCAGTGGTTGCACAAATGTTGTCTTGGCATTAAAATTTATTTAAATGCAACAGATATACACTTGCCTCAGCATCTGGATGATCCAAGATCATAGAACTTGGACAATGCATATATACAACAGTTTATATAATTACATTGCCTCAAGAAAGTGCATTTATAAGTTTATCCAGGGCAGGAATCTCTAATCATGTATTTCTTTGTGTCAATGAATTATTTCTATAAACTGCAAAAATACAAATTCTATACCCATATTTAGTTTGGACATAAAAGGAAATATCTCTGGTTATACCAAGTATACAGTATTAACTCTTATCCATCTTAAAAGTTTGAGGAATCTTGCTGCCACTATCTAAATATCAAGCTTAACCAAGTTTAACAGCATTAGAACATTAAGCATAATAGGCAATTTTATTTTTGTTTTCATTTCACTTTGCAATGCAATGTACTGACTACACTAATGGTCCCTGCTGACTTGAGACAAAGCTTGTGAAAGATGCTGTACAATTTGATTCACTTCTGATGATTAAAGAGAAGTAGTGCTGGAGCAAGAAGGTGAAATACAGATTAAAAAATTAAAACTTAAGCTTTCCATATTTTCTGGATACAAAATAGTGTTATTTCTGTGTTACTTATGGTGCATCTGTAGTAATTTCATTACTGTATCAATAAAATTTATATGTGCACATCTAATTAGAGAAAAAATTTGTGGATATTCTTAATTGAACAGATGTACCTCAGAACTACTTCAAGAACTGGAATTTGGTAATTTTTTTCAAACATACAATAATGAACACCATAAATAATACAATTTAGGAACTGGGATACATGGGTTAATCTTCTTCACCAAGATGAAGATTTAAAAACTTACCAGAATATAGGTTTTTCCATTATCTCCTTTTATGGTGAATCGAAATGTGCTTTTTGCAGAGGATAATTCCAAAAGACACTGAGCAACAATGCTCTGTACAAACTGAGACCTGTTTAAGAATTAACCACATTATTATATGCTTTCATAGCAACCACAGTCATTCATACCTATGCACTCCAGGTAAATGAGTAGTAACTCATACTTCAATTCCACTACATCCTACAATCACATTTTACTGAAAGATGGGGCTTCTTTATCTTCCTCTCACCCAAAACCAGAGAACTTTTTATTTCCTACAACAGGAATTTTTTTAAATAGATCAGGATTCTAAATTGCTTTACACCCTTTATTCTGGCTGACACCAACTGTCAAAGGTTGAATAGAAGATTTTCCCTATTATATTTTACACATATGAACAAAAAATTCAGAATTATGCATATGTTTCAAATACAATTCTCAAAAAGAAAGAACTGTGATTAAACCATTGTACATGATACCAGGTAGCTAGATCAAGTTCTGTTTCATCTTAGTCTTAAATTCAAACTGAATTACTTGAAAATTCAAAAGTCTTACTTCAAATGAAACATTTCAAACTTTACTTAATTTACCTTTACATGAAATAGACTTCTGTTTCCATAGTAAGTCACCAGACATTGTGCAAACTTAAAGAGTTCAAAATAAAGAAGTTTTTTATTTTGGCTTATCACCTCAATAGTGAGACACTGTGACAAATTACACACAATCTCCTGCATCACACTCAAAGATGAGCAAACAAAACTGCACATGAGTGAATTCAGGCTACTTTGCCTTTACAATGCTTAATTCTGTGATGATTATATAAAATTGCACTCTGTTATTATATACAATTATTCAAGAAACAACAACATTAGAGCATTTCTGGAATCCCTTCTAAAACATATACTTGAGCAAATTATGTGATTATTTTGTTACCTTGGTGTTGGACTGAAACCTCCGTCAGCTGATTGAATAACCACCTCAGTGACATAATATTTAATGGTACCTAAAATGAAAAAGGTATTTTTCAACTATAACAGAATAACCAACTTAGTAAGATTAGACTGTAAGTCACCATATCACTACACTAATCAAGTATTTGTTTAGCAGTCAATTAAGAGGTGCAGCAGACAATTATATTTTGCTTGGGTTTGTAGGAGTAGAAGCGACCATAACAAAAAACCCTACATTGCCTGAAGAAAACTGCTCCAAGCTAATTACAAGATCGGCAATTTCTCATTCATATTGATCTTTGTTTAATGCTGGGAACAATCATCTTGAAACCAAGCAAGCAAGAGCTCAAGCCAAACCCGAAAGATGAATTGAAAGAACTTTCCTAAAGCACTGAGATCAGCATAGCTTACATAAGTATTTTAGTACCCTCTGCTGCTTAGTAATGCTGCAGTGAATCACTAGAGACAGTTTTAATAACAGCTCACACAGGGGAATAATTTCCTTCTTTGCTCAAAGAGCGGAATGGAACTTCTTTCCAAAAATCACACTCACTCAATGTTAACACTGCATACATTCTGAATTTCAATGTAACTGTCCACCAAAAGCTCCACTAAGACAGCTTTTCACACTAAATGGAAGTGTTTGAGGAGATAATTTAATCTCCATCCATGAAGGCAGGTCAAAGATGATCACATCGAAGATCTGGGTCTGTGCTGCAAATACAGGCTAACCAGAGGCCAGCAAAACAGGTTAGGAGTCATAAATTCATTCTACTAAGTCTCAAGAGGTGAACAACTGGAAGATTAATTTGGTCCACAAGTTTTAAGGATGGAAGGTTTTTATCTGATCTCTGTCCACACATATCATTAAAACTTGATGAAAGCAAATATTTCAGAAGGACACTTTAATCTGTTTTAAACCCTCCAAAGGCTTGGTAACCCCTTCTCCAGGTAAATACTACACTTTCTAAATTATCTTCAGTGTTAAGAAGTTATATTTTACCTCTAAATTTAATTAAGTCTGCTCCATGCTGTGTGATTTCTTGGAGACAGGAAGAAAAGACAGCTCACTCTCTCCGGTTCCTCAGCCATTACCCGGAGTAAGGAATTGGTGCTACTGCTACAAGGGTATTGGGAATTCAGATGTTTGCTTGCAGAGGGATAGAACCTGTGATTTCCCAAGAAAAAATCATACAACTAAATGTGGATAGAGTTGGGGGAAGGAATAGCCCATGGGGGAATCTCAAAGCTGAATCAGGTCCCCACAGCTACAGAGCTCTAATCCTGCTTTATCTTCAAAACACTGGTATCTGCTCATGAGAAGCACCAAGGCATGCCAGTCTAAGTTTGCTCTCTAGTCTCCTTTCACAGAGATGGTTCTGCCTGGACTTACATTATCCATCTCTTTTGTTCTCTGAACTCTACCAAAATCTCCTGCACTACTGAAGGAACATGGCCAAAACAATGGAAATCCTAACTTCAGCCATGTGCAGAGTGCATACCAAATTCCTGCACATTGATAGTGTTTGCCTTTCCCCACTCCCACTGACCTATTTAGTACTCATGACCTTGTTATTCATGCTCTTTTCCCAGCACTCCTTTCCCAAAGTCACATCTTGCTTTGAGGGCTTTCAAACATTGTACCTTAAATTTGGTTTCATTAAAGCCTGTATTGTTCAGATCCCTGTACAGGACAATCAGAACATTCTGTAACAGAAGACACAGAAGATCTTCTGTCCTGTCTCACCTTATGGCATTTCTTAAACAGGCTTTGCATTTTCTGAGATGTTTTTATATCCCCCAGATCTCTGAACTGAGGTAGGCTCACACAGACTGATGCAATGGAAGGGAGGGAGGATGAAAGAATGAATCCTGCTAATAACAGTCTTATCATTGTTTCTCTGCCAAGAATAGCTAAATTTTAAAAACAACCAGACCCTCTTCTTTACACCACTTCAGGTAAACCCTGTTGATCCAATATAATTACAGCTTTTAAACCAATAATGCCATCAGCTCATCATCAGATGAGGATGAGGCATAACCTGTTTCTTTGAATAGACTTCGTCCCCACAAAACCAGGCTGACTGTTAGCAATCTTCAGCTTCTAGTTGCGTTAATCAAGTTCTGAATTACCTTTCACTCATTCTGTAGAACTGACAGGAAAACAAGCAACTTGTAATTTCTCAAATCTCCACTTTTACTGAGATTCCTAGTAAACTGGAATCATGCATTGAGCCTTCCAAATATTTGGAATTAGCCAAATGTGCCACAGAAACAAGGATAACCAAAGTTCCTGCTGAAAGTAATTATCAAGGTCAAACACTGGAAGCAACAACTTCATCTATTCCAGAAGGGAACGAGACAAACACACAGGAATTAACATAGCACCTTATTGACAAACTATTTTCCTTCAGTGTTTTTAACCTCCAGTGTTCAATGGTTGATGCAATCAAGTCTAGTTCTGTTTGGACATCTCATACCTGATGAAACTGTTTCTCCCAGCATTGTCTTGCAGCGCTTACAAATTATTCTGGTATTTTCTTTTGACTTCTGTAGGACAAAAAAAAAAAAATCATTTAAATGTCACTCAGATATTCTGAAAATGGAATGCATAGCTTAGCATAATTTACAGAGCAGACAGGTAACTTTTTACTTGTTTCTGTCCTCTTTATGTTTGCATATACACATATTTGCCCTAACTACTTCAGCTTTCTACACTCAGACTTGCTTGCATGTTTCATACTAATTTTAAAATCTGGCAATATATCCACACAGGACAATCTGTATTGACTAACAGGAGAATCTTGTAGTATTGAGTGACTGGATGATAAAATGATAAGCTAAATTTGATTGTGCTAAGGACAAAATAATGCACCAGAAATTAAGTACTCCCCAATATAGACATAAAATAGTACGCTGCAATGTGACTACCATTATTCAGTAACAAGTTCTAGTAACAGTTCACTGTGGACAGTTTTATAGGAGTTGAATACCAGTTCAATGATCAGCAGAGAGCAGAAAATGTCTGCAGATTATTTTGAGTTACTAGGAAACAGGAGAAATACACAAGACAGCATGATATGCCAGAAAGGTGCAGTGGATTCTGCTCTTGAACAACCCTTCTCCCTCTATTCAAACTAATACAGAAAAGGTATTGACAAAGAATAACTGTCAGAAGTGCAAAACAGTTTCCATATGTAACATGAAAATACATGTAGCAGGAAAACATATGGAAGACAGAAAACTGAGGGGTACCATTGAGATACCTAAAATCAAAAATGTTTAGAAAAAGCTGAAAAGAAAAAAAATGAAACATATTCCCTCACAGCTCATGCTATGAAATTCCAACCCTGTTTGTATCAAAAAAACAGGAAGGCATTTGTCACACGATGCATAATACAGTTTAGTACTCACTATAGGAAAGCATTTTTCATATTAAAAGTATAAACAAGTTCAAAAAGTCTTCATAAATTCAGAGGAAGGAATGTCATCAAGGGTCTATTAAAAACAAAAAATGTGGATAAAAATATCTAGGAGTCTCTACACTCTCCAGGACATCACTGAATATTTGCCTTAGCTTTATGCATCTATTACTGCCCTGTGAAAAAGATCTCACCTCCACATGAAATCTACCCTATTAGACTCCTACTAATTACAGTGTTAATATTTAAATTCAATACATCAAACAAGCAAGCACAATTCTTACTTTAATCCAAAGTCTAAACTTCAGAACTGGTTCTGTGTGGGCTTATTAACCTGGGTGTAGCAACTAGAGCTCTGATCTGAAAGCAGTACACATATATCCAACCTTAATGATGGTCAAAAACAGAGAATCAAACTAACAATCTGAGAGCTGACTATGTTGGAAGTAGTCTCCTTGTAATGGAGATCAGGAAAAGAATCTAACTCATATATATGCAGTTATTCCCTTTCCCAATTCCTACTTTGCTAGTCCTCTCAAACATATGCAGTGAAATTATTTGCTCAGTGTGAAAAGCAAGGACAAACAGACAAGGTTTTGTGTAAGCCAGTGTTTCAGACTGGTACAAATACTGCACAGTACAAGCACAGAATACACACTACTTCCTTGAAAGCTACAATTTGAGTATTTTTTTTTCTGACTGTAGTTACAGGTGCTGACTGAGAACTGTGCCTAAAAACATCACTAATTCCTTGTATCATGCTTCAATGGAAAAAGGGATAGTTTTAGCTCAACTAATTAAAACAATTTATCTGTTTGACAACTTGCAGCTGCTGGCAATCTGCAGATGCAGGTGGATCACAAGCCTAATAGTTTCTGCTCCTATTCCTAAGGATCCCTGATATGGTGTCAGGAAAGATATTTTCCCCAAGAGATACTATTAAGATGCTGCAAAACCATGTGACATTTAAGAACTATGTTACACTGGAAGACTAATAGATGTGAAAAATATGTTTGCAATGGATGGATGCTGTCTTGGTCCCACTGGAGTCTGGAGAAGATTGTTTAAGCATCTCTGGTACATTCCTGCTACTATTTTGGTCATAGGCAAACACTTTCCAAAGAACTGCAATGCAATTAAAAAGGAACTTTCATACTAGGGCAGACTGCAACAATATTCTCTAAAATGAGAACATTTATGCCAATAGCAATCTGTCTTGCCTGTAACTTTCTATTACTCATATTACGGAAGAATTTTCTGCTTCAGTATGAGGGTTTTTTTCCTTATTAGTCTAGCTTCTGCTGGATCTAACAGTTGTGCTCATTTGCTTGGCAACTGAGTGATGCTGGAAATAAGCAAACACAGAAATGAGAATTCATTGCAAGTGTGAAAGATGTAGAAAAAGGGATTGGATACAAACAAGGAACAAATTCTCAACTTCGATGCAAGTATAAGGAAGCAAACATGAAAATTCATCACACTAAACTGCTACTGTATGCCCCTGACATAAAACAGCCTCCTCCCTCACTCAAAAGTTCTGCTGTTATCCTGGTTCAACCAACATCTCAATAAAATCTTTGTTCCACATCCTTTTATTATGCTTCTGCTTCCAAATCAATCCTTTACTCACAAGCATTCTCTTTGATCAAGAAGTGTGCAATATGAACTCCATGAGCACTGCCTCTTCCCATATTTATTCCTGGTGTTCTAAGATTTCTTTTAAGACTACTGAAATGTGAGAATTCATTTTGGCAACCACTAGCAGAAAGCACTGTCCTCTTGGAAATTTGGTATCATCTACTCCACCTCCTTAAGGAAACTTAGAAGAAATAACTCCACTGTCACAGAGTTGAGCCAAATTAATCTGTGTCTGCCATGCTGATATCTTTCCAGCACATCAGTCCTTATTTTCCTCTCTGCATATTCTGTTTTTCAAAGAACAATGGAACAAGAAACCAAAAAGGAGCAAGCTGCAAGCCTTGCAGATAGGACCACAGGACAGAACTGCTCCCCACCCAGAGGGGTCGCTTGGAGCACCCCAACAGCAGCCACTGAACTGCAAGAATCCTGGTGACTCTTTCTGGGGATAATACTTATCACTATAAGCAGCAGGTAGAAATCAGGGAGTTTGGTTCTTAAGAGATTAAATGTTTCATGCTGGAAATCTCTACAGAATAAGCCATCAATTTTTACAGACACAAATTGCCAAGGCAGCAATGTAGACAGTTTAATACTTCAAATTGTGAGAAAATACAGCATGTGAAGCCCAACCTTTTTTAGGACAAATGCAGAAAAGCAGTAGATTAACAGAAAAGGCTTTATGGAAATGTAGGTTTTGGTGAACCTGAGTTTCTGGACATTCTTCTGGCAGAAGAAAAAAGATCATTGCTTGAACTTTCATACAGGTGCTAGATGTCCAAAAGCAAAGCACTGCACTGTCTTTCTTCATGGGTTTTATCCCGCCACTGAAACACAAGCACCAACAAATGGTGATGGGCAACACCAAATTTTGATGTTTCTAAGCCAAATGACAGCCTTCTTCCTACAGACTTGGTTGATGAATCTATCTTACCCTGGAACACCTCAGAAACATCAACATGAAGAGCTATAATATAGGATGGCAGGTTCCTTTCACTAGACAGAGCAAACAAACTCAATTTCCTTACTGTCCTTTAAGAACCTAAGTCAGCCACATCTAAATGCAAAGCACACATTCTGATATTTCCAACTCTTTCTAAAACTAAAAAAAAAAGAGAGAAAAAATACCACTTCTCTTTAATCATAGTCAGGATTATGCCTCAACTCACAGTGTAAGAAAAAAACAAAACTATTCCAATTCAATTTCCACCTCATTCTTTGCTCCACTACCCTTTATCAAACACCTAACCCATCAGTTATTAATTTACTGAATTCTGATGATAATTTTGGGGGAAAATATTTGGGTTTAGAACTACATAATTAAGTAGCTTCTGTTTCTAGTACTAAGTACTACTTGCATACTGAGGTCAGTATCAAGACTGTGGTGTGAGCTTTAGGAAATGTAAAACATAGCCTGGAATATTTTCTGGCTTCTGCAGAGTTGAATGTCAAGAACTCCCTATGACCTTCAGAACAGTTCTGTAATACATACAAATTAAATAAACTAGTTTAAAAAAAGTACTTTACAATGAAAAGGTCCAAATAACTTCACCTAAGAACTGTTTGAAGAAAATACTTTACCACGTTGGAGTCACTCTGTGAAACATGGTGTGCAGCCTCTGAGCAGCACACAGGAGATTCAGGCACATGTGATTCATTTCTTGAATTCAACAGAAGAAAAGTGTCTCCAACAAAACAGTCACCATGCTGAGGGTGCAAAGTTCTTTTGGCAAAGGGGTCGGGGTGACAACACCACTCTTCAACTAAATCACTCCAGTTTTCACTTGGTAGAGGAAGAACTCTGAGAAATTTCCTTAGAGGGAAGAGAAGACAAATATTTCAGTTATGTTGTAATTCACTTCTAAGACACTTAAAGAGAGTTTAGGCTTCCTACAAACAGTGGGGGAAGTATGGCATTTTCTCAAAAGGAAGTGCTTGACTCTCCTTCCAGCCAAAGGCACTTTCTTTGGGTGAATTCTGAGAAAGCAAAGGCTGATTTTCCTGCCAAATCTGTGATGAAGCATTTCCCAAGGGTGAATCTTCAATGATTTAAAGGCAGAATTTGACACAGTCCTCTCTTGAAATGAATCACATGCAAAAATAAAACAGTTCTACCCAGTCATGAAAAATATGACAATGAGCATTTACAACTACATTTATTATTACTTCTTGTACAGTTCCCTTGCATCAAATGTTGCTATAAAACCAATAGAAAAAGACTCATGCCACAGCAAGATTCAGCATGTTGTCTCATATACCAGACTTGAAAAAGCTAAATCCTGAAAAAAAACCACAGTGCATCTTCAATAAAAAAACCCAAACAAACAAAACAACAAACAAAGGATAATTCAATCTTAATTTAGATTCAGATAGTCAGATCTGACTTTCAGAAGTCATATACAAAAAAGGCAAATTCCTTTCTCCTGGGTAGCTGTAAGGACCAAGGATACTGTCTCTGGAAAAATACTTTGTTTTCATTATCAGTTGCATTGGATTTGCATTTTCTGCTCTCTGCCTAGTTTCCTAGAATGGTTACCCTATTTCTTAAGCTGTCACCTGAAATCTTCACCAGAGTTTCTTGATTCTACTCCTTAGTTAAAACTTGCAAATACAACTTTGCTTATGGTGCTACTTTGCAAATAAAAACACAGCTGCTAAGCCAACAGTTAGACATCCTCCCTCTCCTGCAGTTCCCAGACTAACATTTTCTGAAGATGTCATTTCTTCCCACTGTAGCTTCTTGGCCCTTTTAAATTGTTCTGTGGGTGAAAGAAAAATGTTTTATTTTAAAAAATCCTTTTTATCTAGATACACAATACATTGTAAACTCTGCTTGCTCCACCTGCAGATGAAAGTTGGAATAACTGATCCTCTAATGCAGCTTTACCAAAACTAAGCAAGATCACCTCTCAGCACTGCCCATGTTTGTCTTCATTTTCTGTGGTCTTATATATTGTTTGAGAGACTACTCAGTCCTGCCAAAGTGAAAGTTTAGTTCTGATATTGGTCTAATTGATTCTTCATCAGCCTTTACAATTAGTTCTGGTGCCTGGACTCACACTGCAAAAAAAAGTCTTTGTATTGCTTTTTATACAAAAGTAACAAAAAGCTCAGTGATGTTCTTACAAGGGAAAAAAAAAAGACATTACCTTAAGCTGCAGACTCATGCTGTCCTCTTTCATTAAATCAATGTTTCTTTACTCTCACATTCTACAGCATAAAGATTTTCACTTATTTTCCAACAAAAGCAGTTTTTCCAACATGTAGGAATTTCCTAAATAAACTCCTAACTCTGAGCTACACAGAAAATAAACCATTTCCACTGTATTTTAGGCTTTTGCCACTCATGGGTGGGAAGTTATATCCTGGGTTACCAGAACTGGAAAAATGTAAAACTCATAAAAACAGAGCCTTCCTAAAAAAAACCAAACAAACAAAACAAACTTGAGGCTACTAACAAACATGATAAATCCTATAAAACAGGGTGACTTGTCTCTCCAAACTTGCTCCTAGTAACAACTGAGTTTGTACTTGAAAATAGCCACCTAGGCTGCATTTACAGTCAGAGAGTAACAAACAATTCTTAGATTGGTACCTTTAGGAGTAGCTTCCTCCTGAAAGTGTCTAATCTAGCCAGGCTGAATCTCCTGCTGTAGACAGTTCCCAGATTCCAACCGGAAAAGCAGGAAATTAACTTATTTTTAAAAAGTTTGAAGTTGAGAACCAGTCTATAAGAGCCCTGCCATAAGGATGTAACTCTTAGATGATCTTCCAGTCTAAGGTAAGTATTTGACCATAGAGACCCCTATAAGACTGGATGAAGAAAAGTAAACCCAAATGTCATTATTAACTAATAGCCAGTAATATCATTGTCTACTGAAAATACTGAAAACTGGAAGTAAAATGGACTTTAGACTTTTAAACATATAGTAACTGTTCAGTTTTATCAGAGAAAAAGAAAAACAACTGCATTTCCTTAACTGCAATTTCCATTATTTACCTGTTAAAAAATCTAGGGACAGCCCAGCTTGTCAGTTAACTGTCAGGCTTAACACTATTTATGTAGGAAAAGTGAAATTAGATTCCCCCTGCCATGAGTTTTTCCATGGAATATTTGTGCAGTACCAATTATTATTTGTTACATTCAGTCTCTCCTGTCCAGCTGATGAGGGAATGGATAGAGCAGCTTTGGTGGGCACCTGGCATCCACACACCACAAGCCTTTAAGAATTTCTTCATGACAGAAATAAAGTCTTAAATACTTATTTTATATATGAGGTACACTTAGCCCAACTAGAAAGGGAGAAAGAAAAAAGAATGTATCCCTAATTCTTTGCAGCTCTTGCATGATGGAAGAAAAAAAATCTAATAATTTTCTCTAATGTGTGTAATGTGAGGGCAATGGAAAAGAATGAAAGAGCATTACCCTCTGAAGAGCTATCAGATTTATGGAAGGAAACACACTCAGGCAGAGGATTTCAGAAAATGTATAGAGTAAATTTTTGTGCACCAAGAAAGGATTACTTACATTTAACCCATTCCTAGTACATTTCTTAATTCAACCTTTAAAAGGAAGACTTCCTATGCAGTCTCTAACAGCAAAAAAATAAGCTTTAGAATAGGTTTGGGGTGGTTTGTTGGTTTGTTTTTTTCCTTTCATTTTAACCTAGATTCCTCGTGCTTCAACTGAAGATTACTGCCACCCTCTTTGCAGCAACTTCCTAGATATTGGAACAATCTTAAGTCTTCTCCACAGCCTTATCTACACTACCCCATTTATTTCTTCTTAAAGGTATGATTTTCTAGATCTCAGGTGTTTCTTATTACAGACCCCTGCCTAGTAATTCAGACTTTAATATACTCTCTTTCACACAGTTCTGCAATTTCCCTTCAATCCTTCCACCTTTGCTGTCACTGTCACACTTAATTCTTGCTGGAGAGAGGAACACATGAATTCTGCAGCTAGAAGTTCTGACTACACTACTCTCTTCCTTTTGGAAATGCTGGAACAGAATCTGTTGGATACACTGGCTGCTCACTTTTCTACTTGTGTCTTAGGTTTTTTTAGTGGCAACATTCAAGGGATTCAGAGGCTTCCTCCAAGGAGAAATGCCAAGTAAAAAGGCATGAACATGCATTCTCTTTCCTTTCTCAAAAATTCTGCTTGTGTCACATTACAGGATGCAGAACCAAAAGATTTAAACTACATGGATATGAATTTGATGTGCTGAAATTCAGGAAAATTCCCACTCAGAGATGCAAATATAAATGGGCAACATGTTCTGAAAGCAAATGTTATTGAATACAAATTAGAAGTTTCACTACTTTACAAATGTATCAAAATAAGAGTTATTACTAGACTTTCTGAGGAGACGTTTCAGAAGAGAAAGTTAAGAAATCATCATTCAGTTACATTCAGTTAGCCATAAACCTATGCCTATGACAAGAAAGTAACAAATTTAGAGAGTGGGACATATTTGTATTACTGTTTTGAGTATTAGGAGCCACACAGATCATCAAAGGCTGTAAGTACACCTCTAACAATTCTTATATATTCAGCTGAAGCCCTCAAAATTGTTCATCAGAAGAGCTAGACAATGCAGCACCTTTTTATTAAAATTCTCATTCACTCTGCAGACTTTTTAAGGAACAGAGATAAGGACAAGTCACACAGCTAAGACACAGCTCCTGTTTCCCAAATTTAGCATCCCTGAACTATGTGGAGGCAGGCTTTGCTTAAAAGATAAAAGGAAGCTGTGGTCAATATCCCCATTCTGAGCAACCACTTTATAATTACAGCATGATGACTGAAGGAAATGTATAAGAAACTGAAAAGAACTGAAAAGGATACCCGAAATACAGAGAAAGAAATCAAGGAGCAAATGAATAAACAGCTAAAAACTGCTTCAGGTAATTTTGCTTTTTGTCATCTGCAGTGCTTCAAATATGTTCTACCAGTTTCAAAATAAATACCTTTTAGCTGTCTCAAAGTACACAAAATAACATGAATACCAATCACAGTGGCATTTATTGCTATAAATACAAGACACTGCAGTACTCACCGGTCGTTCACTACGATGTCACCACAGGACTGACAGTAAAAGATGTAATTCTTGTTGGGTTTCAGGCTTTCCCTCAAGGTAAAAACCACATCTATAGATGGAAGGAAATATATTAATCTTCAAAATAATGTAAAATTTTCAGTCACTCGTACAAAAAAGTCTTGCCAAATACCTCAAAATTTATCCAAAAAGGATAAATCTAACAGACAAAGAAAAAGGCTGACATTTTAAACACAACCCTAATTTTTTTAAAAGCAAGTATTTAGATTTAGGAAAAACTTGTCATCTCTACCTCATGCCCCATATTACTAAGTAGGAATTGTATATGTGAACAATTATTTTCAAGGTGCAAATCTTCTTTAGAAGGGAAACTGAAATATTGATATAATTGCAGAGATTATAAAAATCAAAATTCAATGCCACTCTTTTGTAATGCTACTTCTGACAATCAGTGTATCTGCAATATGAGGGGACACACTGATATGTTACACAAATAGTCAGGATGGGGAGCAGGGTCAGACACTAGTTTTACATTTTCAGGCAGGTAAGAAACCAACCACTGTGCAGGAAAAGATAGTGAGCAACGGCCTCTGCAGGCCAGGAAAGCAAAAAGAGTCTCACAAAAGGCAGCTCAAACAATTTCCTCAAAGTAAAAAAAGAAGTTATAAAAGTCTCCCCAAATTATCTGGCAACATTAAGTGAAAGAAAAGTAAAACTTTAAGCCTACCTCTAGGTATGAATATGCTTTGCATCAGCCATTTTCTCAAAATTAAGAATCAAAGTTTACTCTCAGCAATGACATTCAGTATTTGAAATTTAGGATACAACCAAAGAGAAAAGTACTTTAAAATGTTCCAGAATTTCAACTATTTTGCATAATAATATAAAACATCAAAGGGTAACTAAGAGTATCCAATATACATGTTGATTACAACCTCATTCACATACTTATTTTGCACTAGCATGACTTTCCAAAGTTGATTTTTAAAAGTGCATCGTTGGTCTTTTGAAACATTAACACATTAACATGTGTTAATATGACACATTAAGTAATTTTAGTATAACTGACTTGTCAAAGCACAGCACAGGCATTACAGATAAATGTACAGATGCCATCTCACCATACCCACAGAATATTCCAATGTGTTTCTGGTGCTGCATCACTGTATATTAGGTATTTTATCATCCTTTTCTACTTTAAAAGCTCAGAATGGCAATTTTGTGTTATTTAATATATATTTCTGTGTCACATCATATGAAATGAATCTAAACATATAGAGCTTGGATGCCAGGATGAAAGAAGGCAACAGCTGTACTACGATGCCTTCTATTTATTGCAAACACATCCTAGACCTGAATTAGCATCATGGAAGTAAAGGAGGCAACTTTGCAGATGTTACCTGCGACATTAACCTCTGAAACCCCAGCTGTGAGAATAATGAGTCCCAACACAAACCCTTTATGATTAAGTGGTTAAGGATGGACAAGCATAGTGGTTGCCTGGATGAATCAGATTACTCCATTACTGATAGGATGGGGAGGAATGGGTACAGATTTAAAGAAAAAAAGCTTAGGTTAGATATTAGGAAGAAATTCTTTACAGTGAGAGTGGTAAGACACTGGCACATGCTGCCCAGGGAATGCCCCAACCCTAGCAGTGTTCAAAGCCTGCTTGGGAAGTCCTTGAGCAACCTGGTCTAGTGGGATGTATCCCTGCCAATGGCAGCGGGGATTTAGGACTAGATGATTTTTAAATGCCGTTCCAACCCCTTAGCATTTTATGATTCTACGATTTTCAGCTATCTAATGCGGAATAGGAGAGAAAGAAAATCACTTTGAAGTACTATGGGGAAGCACAGGAGGGGAGAACTGTGAGCAGATCCCAAACACACCGCGGTTCCCTTTCATTACGTCATTTTTGCACTTTCAATTTCTAAAGCTGACAATCCCAGAAGGTGTTTGCCCAACAGAATCCGCACTTCCCAGCCTCTCTCAGTTAAACCTCCTATGTCCCAGGTCGCCCTCCCCCGTTTCGCATCGCCTGCCCTGCCCTGCCCGCCCTCACCGGCGGCGGGAGGCGGGCCGCGCAGGCGCATGCGCAGGTGCAGCCCGTCCCCGCGCAGGCGCCGGAGCCCGCGGCACGAGGACGGCGCCAAGCTGACCCCTGCCGGCAGCGCCGCCGCATCGCAGTTCCCGCCGCTCCTCACTTCCAGGGAATCCGCGCACACCGACACCTCCACCGGCGCGCCGGAGAGCTCCGCCGCCGCGCTGCGGAGGAAAAGCAACGGGTATGCCTCGGGAAGGAGCTGTCGGGGTGCGCTGCTGCTTTACACAGGCCGGCCCGCAGCTCCCCTGCAGCCCCAGTCGCGCCCCGAGATCCACGCGGTGAACGAGGAGCAGCCGAGAGAAACAGAGCACCGTTCTCAGGAAAAATTTATTTGCACAGTAGTGCCGAGCCGAACAAGCAGGGGGAGGCGCCCGCACGCAACCCGGTCCCCGCGCTGAAGGCTAAAGACGATGAAAGCCAGACCCGCCGCGCCCCCCGGCTGCCCCGCGCGGCCCGAGCGGCGGCGGGCGGCAGCGCCCCGCACTACCGGACAACCAGCAGCGCGCTCTGCGTCCCCCGCCTGATCTCCATGAGGAACGCTGCCGCCATGCCGGCCCGCGCAGGAAGCGGCCGCTCTCCCGCCGGCGCAGGCGCGCTACCGCCGCCCGCCCGTCACAGCGCCGCCTGCGTGGGATCGCCGAGCCCCCCTAAACCACGTTACCCAGCCCTGCTTTCGGGCGCTTCCTGAACACTTCCAGGGATGGCGACTCCACCACCTGGCAAATCCATTCCAGCCCTTGACCGCCCTAGCGGTGAAAAAGATTTTTCTAATGTCTAACCTGGACGTCTCCTGTATCACTCTTTAGGGGCATTCCCGCTAGTCCTGTCACAGTAGGCAAGTCAGCAGAGACAGACTCCCAAAACCTCCTTTCAGGCAGCTGTAGAGAGCAGTGAGGTCCCTCCGACCCTCCTCGAGACTAAACAACCCCAGCTCCTCAGCCGTTCCTGAGGCTGAGGTTAAGACAAGTTTTCTAGAGCCCTGTTTCCCTTCTCTGGACACGCTCCAGGACACCAATATTCTTTTTAAACTGAGGGGCCTAGAAACTGATCACAGCACTGGAGGTGCGGCCTCACCACTGCAAAGCACAGAGGGACCACCACTGCCCTGGTCGTGCTGGCCACACTGTTCCTGATACAGGCCAAGGTGCCACTGGCACTCTTTGCCACTTGGGCACAGCTCGCTCCTACGGCTGTCAGCCATCCCCCCCGATCCTTCTCCGCCGAACAGCTCCCAGGTCACTCCTCCCCAAGCCCGCAGCACTGCATGGCGTGGCTGCGATCCAAGCGCAGGATCCAGCAGCTCGGTCCCGACGGTAGCAATGGCAGGACGGTGTCCCGGGGTCTGCTGCGCCCCCGGCTTGGCCGCTGCTGGCCGTACAGTCGGGCCTGGGGGCCCAGGGATGAGTCCCTCCGGGTCCCGAGCCCCAAGGTCCAGGTCTGCACAACCGGCCGGTCTCACGGGGCTTTCTTATGCCCAGTCTCTTCTGTGTCAACACCGGGCTGTCATCTCCTGCTTTCCTGCCACACCACAGCCGGGAGGAGCCTGGGTCTGTTCTACCGGGCGCCTCCCCACAGGAGCTGTGGGCTGTGCCTGGGGGTGTGTGCTCCGCGTTCGTAGCCAAACAGGGTTGATCGTAAACTGTTTTAGCTGCTGCTGAATGGTGTTTGCACACTGTTAAGGCCTCCCCAGGGTCTCACTCCACACCATCCAGCAAATAGGCTGGAGGTGGGGAAGAGCCTGGGGCAGGGGAAGAAGTTGTACAGCTGACTTGAATCGACCAAAGTGATGTTCCATGGCACACTACATCACTCGTGGCATAGTGATGTATAAAAACTAAAGACTATGCCCATAAAAACTCAGGGCAAAGTCTTTCCAAAGTGACCATTGCTCAGATACTGACTGAACATCAGCAGTCTTGTTGTCAGAGGTGGTGAGTGATTGTCTGTATGTTTGGGGGGATTTTTTGTTCCTCTTTCCCTCATCCTCTAAAACATCATTGTCTTAACCCACAGCTTTTCATGCTTTTGCTCTTCTGGTTCTACCCCTGAGCTGGCAGCTGGCTGGGGTCACCCCATCATGACCACAAAGTTCAGTCTGTGCAGAGGCGTCTGCTGAGACTGCTGAGACTGCTGGCAGGCTCCCCAGTACTAGGGACTGTGTCCTATGGCACCACTACTGACCCCCCGCCTTGTGAAAAAAACCCTTTCCACCTTTTCTTGCAGCTTTACAAGTCTTTCTGAATTCCTCCTGATCCATGTGCACCAGCTCTTGAATGCTGTCACATTGTACTCATAGTAAACTCAGGCAGCTGCTGCTCAAGGGTGAGGTTTTCTACTGCCTCTCATGAGATCTTTTATCTGGACTGTAAGTCCACCCTGACACGCCTGTGTGACTTTCCCTTACCGTATGAACACTGTCACCACTGCATACTTCATCCAGGATGCCACCCTCACAGTATGTAAGAAGTTGATGCTCAGTGTTCAAGGACACCAAGGAAAGAAACTTTCACTTGGAAAAAAGGAGTCTTTCTGCAATGTTAGAAGTGTTTACTTTTTAAGAAGTCACAAGACCCTCTGTGGTTGCAGAGAGTTTTTTGAAAACGTGATCTGCAAAGCTTCAAACAAATAGGCAAATTTGCACAGGTTACTTTTATAGCAATGTATGATCAAATAGAGGATTATAGTGAAATAATCCTTAGTCCTTGGAGTTATCAAAACCAAGTAGGAGAGTCCCAAAGAAGAAAACGGAGTAGGGTTAGATCTTGTGGGGAAAAAATACAGCAGGCAATAGACAGTTTCAACTGAGTTATTTTGTTGTTTTTTACAAAGCATGAATTTACTGAAGTATTCTAACATGGGACTGTACTGTCTACATGCTGTTCTGAGTGTGGTGGTGTGGGGTTCTGTTGTTGTTTGTTTGTTTCCTTATTTTTTTAAGGAAGAAAAATAATTAGTCCAAATTGTGGGTTTCATTTCCAATTACTTCACAAACAAATTTATATTGTGAACTAAATTGTTGTGGACAAGTAGGTCATACGTCAAACATAAACCCCATGTAACTATAGGAAAATTGACTCCTAGTATTAGTAAAAGGGCCTTTGATGTTACAAAGGCTTACCCAAAGCTACGAAGTTATGAATAATCTTAAGTGTTCACAGGGTGTGAGCCTCACTTATTCAAGATTGTCTATTATAGGTTTCTCACCATTTCTGCTGTGAAATAATTACAGAGAAAGGAAGGTAAATTTCCTATAGAGCAAGTGCGTCTAACATCAGTGCTGCACCCAGCCCGGTATTTTGACTCCAGCATCAGTAAAATAAGGTAGTAATAAGGAAGAGCTCCATAGTGTGGTTGTTTCCAGGTCCTTCCCGTGTGGGGACATCCCTACCCAATTCCTTCAGTGTCCACTTATGGAGGTGTTTGTCATCAATATGAATAATGTGTCCTTCAACCTACAGATAGTGTCCAAGTCCCCAGCCCCTGGTGCCAAGGTGTTCTAGAAGTTTTCTCCTTTGCAGAAAAGAATTTTCTGTGCCTCCTCATTCTCATACTGTGGGGGTTGGTTAACAACAACTTTGTTGCCTTTCATGATTTTGTAGAATTTGATCAATCCTCTCCTTTGCCTTCTGTCTCTGCATTGAGCAGTCACAGTCATTATTGCACTTGCTGTAATATAGCAGTGACATCTCTCTCCAGTGTCTTTCCCAACTTCTCTATATCTCTCTTGAGCTGTGAAGACAAGAATTGATGCTGTAATCAATCTGAGGCTGCACCAGCCTTTTACAGAGCAGCCAAACAACTACCTCTGTCTTGTTCTCAATATTCTTCCCAACGACGTACAATGTTTTTTTGATTGCCACTGCACATAAAGTCGATGAGGCAATTTGAAAGAAGTGTTTTGGAGCTCTGAGCTGTAACTGCCACTACTAAATTCAGCACAAGGGAAGCTTAGACATCCAACCACTCTGCAATGCAGTAGCATGTGAAAGCACATGGTCAGTTATGGACAGTCACTTCCCCTCTGTGAAGTTCACCACTGTTAAATAGCTCCAAAAGCACAACCAACCTAGTTAACAATTACTTCTCAAAGGCATTTATAAGTATCTTCAAAGAAAAAAAAATTTAAGTGTACCATTTTAATAAAAATACATGACACGTAGAGTCTTACTTGATGCCTCAGAAAACCAGTGGAAATTGTCAGCTTTCCAAAAAGTTACTATTTTTCATTTACTGATTCCTGGTATAGTTTAATGAGAAAAGGAATTGCATTTACTCTTTATTATTATCCCAAGTCTGGAGAATAAAATTAGACTACATTAAATATTGGCTGGCAACGTAAGTCACCGAGTAGACAATTTATAAATATTATGAGATTTTCCCCTGGCAATATTTTAGAAATACTTGTCCTCAGACAAAGCCTAAAGTATTAATCATGTAAGCTGAACACACCTTTTTTTTTTTTCTTTTGCAGTTACTCAAGTAATTTATAACCATAAGCTCTGTTTGCTATTATGAAGCTTGCTAAAATTTGAGAACTGTAATGATGGCTTAAAATGAACAGATTACAGTCTAAGACCTGTACCCTTTGTACTGTGGAACTGGCCAGTAGAAAAATCACTCTTGCAATGCAGTAAAAAAATGTCCTTTGAATACCATCCTTGTGGGCACCCATACACTTTCATGTGTAGTAAGGATTCAAGCATACTAATCACAAGAAATTTTAGAAAATTCCCATTACAGCTACTGCTAACATAAGGTAATATCACATCATGGCATCACAGACCAGTTTGGGTTGGAAGGGACCAGGTGAGGATTGGCCTCTTCTGCCAGGCAACCAGAGACAGGACAAGAGGACATAGTCATAAGCCGTGCCAGGGGAGGTTCAGGTTGGACTTCCAGAGGCAATTCTCAGAAAGGGTGGTTAGACATTGGAAAGGGTGTCACATTCCAATGGAGTCACATTCCCTGAAGGTGTTTAAAGAAAGACTGGACATGGCACTCAGTTCCATGGTGTGCTTAACATGGTAGCGTTTGATCGTAGGTTAGATTCGATGATCTCAGAGATCTTATCAACCTAATTGATTCTGTGATCGTAGAGATCATCTCCTTCCAACCTCCGCTGCAGTGAGCAGGGACACCTTCTACTACAGCAGATTGCTCAGAGCCCCATCCAATCTGGCCTCGAGTACTTCCAGGGATGGGCCGTTCACAGCTTCACTGGGCAACCTGTAGCACTATAATTTTCTAAAGAAGGCCCCACTTTCCATGGTTACCTGCGCTGTATTTGGTAAGCTCAGTAGTTATCAGGCGAGATAAACAAACACGCACCCCCGCGGAGCCCGCGCCCCTCGCCCGCGTCCCGCCAGGGGGCGCAGCGCGGCTGAGCGCGGCGGAGTGCGGCGGGCGGGGCGGGCGCGGGGCACGCCGGGAGCTGTCAGGGCGGCGCGGGGGTGCCGGTGGCGGTCGGGCTCTTCCGGCTCGGGTCGCTCAGGTAACGCCGCTCCCTCCGCTCCTTCCCCGGGGTCTTGGTGCGGGCACGCAGCGCGGCCGGGCGACGGCTGCTGCTGCTCCTCCCGCTCCCCTCCCTCCACCCCTGTTGCCGTTCCGGTGTTGGGGAGGGTCCGCCCCTGGAGCCGAGCCGAGCCGGCCCTCTGCTCTGCTTTGCTCTGCTCTGCCCTCCCGTCCGCTCCGGCACCGTCGTGGCGGAGGGCGGGCGGGCCGTACTAGGCTGTGTGCGAGGGGCAGGTGCTGAGGAGCCCGGGGAAAGCGGTTATGGCCTGTTAGTTACGCTGCATCCGTTGACCTGTGGCAGCTGTCCACGCTCCCCACCGTGCTCAGTCCCCCCGCAGCGCGCCCGGGTGAGTTTCGAGCTGCGGAGCCTCTGCCCCCTCCCGCACTGGCGGCGGCCGGCGGGGCCTGGCTTCTCCCTTCGTGGTGGAGCTTCCCCAGGGAGCTCTTCCCGCCTGCCTGGGAAGGAGCTTGGCGTTGGGCTGCTGGGGTCGTCCGGCTTTGACCTTGAGCGTCCAGGGGGCTGCGGGCCTCTTTTAGGTGAGATTCCCGGTTGCTGGAGTTACTGCGTGTGGTATTTGGAAGGATACATGGGACATACGGCTGTCACTGGGTTGTGTGATGCGGGGTTAAATTTCATCTGTTGATGCAGAGATGGCCTTAAATCTTGTGATGCCCGTTTGAAAAGCATGAATACATGACAGCTTCTGGTGTTAAACGTTTTTCAGAAATAATCTATTCATACCTGTGACAATAATCAGAGAAGCCTGAACAATTTATCTCTTTAAGTGACCTAAAATATGTTAGATATGAGGTGCAGGTTTTAAAGAGCTTATTCTGGGTGACTCAACCGTTGTTTTTGTTGCTGATTGCAGGAACCCTTTCACTCCTAGATCTTCTTTCAGTATGCAGTAATAGTGAAAGTGTTATTGTTCTCAGGTTAACTGCAGTGTTACTGACACCTGAATTCCGGCTGTAGGAGTGTGAAGAGTTGAGAAGACTGTATCTAAGGAGTAACAGGCTAGATACTTGCAGGTAATAAGGGGCCACATTATAAGGTTGAAGATCCTAGTAGCTTCATTTTGCTGCCAAGGCTTGGGCTGT